CCGGTTACTCGGAACGGCTAATCAGTAGGATTGTGGGATGACATGACAACGAACGAAGGGCAGATAACGATAAACAGCCAGTATACATTTGACTGCCTGCATAAGGCGATATAAATGCAGAAGTAAAAAAGACAATTAAATAGGATATTAGCAACCTTTTATACAACAATCGTTCATGTTGCTAGGGCCGACTGTGTCCAGCCAAACGGGGAAAGCTCGATTACGTCATGTCTTTCTGTGTGTGCATATTAAGTTGTTTCTGGAGGACAACACACGTAGGTAGCGCCGTCAGAAGGTTGTCTGGACGGTTTCATGAATATCACCCTACGTGGCTAAACATTGGGATAATGAAGGGTGGAGGTGGCGCAGTGGTTTAGTCGCTGTCATCGGCGTGCTTTGGACCCTATGGTCCGAGGTTCGAGCCCCGNCCCGACTTTGGTGGTAGGCAGCTCTGCTGTCGTCCGATTCAATACCACGCCTAACCTATCGGGGCCTTATGTGGTTCGCCACTCCAAGTTCCGGGGCTTAGGTTGCCGATTTCAACCACTGAACAGCAGGTCCTCGTGACTATGGGGTTTACCCCGTCTGTTGTTCATCACACCTAGATGTGTAATAAAAAAATTAAAACAAAACTAGAGAAGTGGGTTCACTCCTGAAACAAATGACATGATGAACGTAACGGAGGCATTCCTGTCTCTGTATAGCGTTTAGAGCAGACGGTAGTTGACGGTGGTTGACGCGAAAGGGATGGGAATGCCTTTCAAAAAAACCTATGATCCTTGGCTATTTTATACTTTGCTTTTCATCTTGAATGATTCAGCCCAGTAAGCAGATAAAATACAAAGTCTGAATGTTGGCGTTGGTGTGTTCTCCCGGCTGAAAGTGTGGTTGACAGACGTTTCGTTTGAATGTTTGTGCACTAACATTTAATAAGGTGTGGTCTACAATCAACTGGTAACGAGAACGCCTCTGAAATCTGTCAATGTACTTATTTAGTCAATTGCCCGGAAAACGATTCGAGTGCGTAAGATTGATGAAGTTTATTTCTCATATAACTGATTCTTCACTTGTACCTATTATTTCACTTGAAGATCGTACTAAGGTTCCTCTAGCTCAGGACTGGCGGTTGCGAAGTTTGATGAAATTTATCATAAAGGGAAGTGTGACATTTGTACATGTTTAATTCTTGCATCGTTACCATTGACTGTTGTCAGTAGTCATACTCTTTTCGGACAATCTTCCTTGTTTCCTGTTTTTCTATTGGTTGACTGTAACCTGTCTTTGTCTTGGCGGCCGGCCACCTTTGTTCGCTCACTGTTTTGCTCTGATCACCACGCATCGGTGCTCTTTGTTGGACTGCTGGTCAAACTACTTCGACTGTACGTTTCTTTTCGATTTCAACCTTGTTGTTTACCATACCGTATGTTAACATATTGTTTTATCATTACAGAACCACCAAAGACAGGAATCCGAGACGTTCTGACTACCTTCTGATATTGATATTGACCTCGGGGTGCGTAAATTCGACCAAAGGCTAGCAAAGTACCGTACGTACGAATCGCGTAACAACAGGAAGTTTTGAAGCGCAGTAAGGCGGATCCTGTCCCGACTGATTCAGTATCAAATATCGTATGTTCCTATGTGTATCTAACTTGACATATCCATTTTGTTTCCTGTACGGCAGCTCTTTGACTGGCCGCTTCATCCTGCCTGAGAAATTACATAATATACATTCAATACAAGGAAGAAAAAACATCGAAATACATACAAGCGGATAGTGCAGTAGAATTCAAGAGAGAGAGAGAGAGAGATGAACTCACTTCCAGATAATCCGACTCGTATGTTGTCATCAATTCCGCTTTGTTCGCAATTTTGGCATAGTTATCACGCAATAAATCAACAATATTTGTAGAACTAGCCGAAAGAACACCGACAGCAGCACTGGGTAGAAAAGCGGCCAGTTTTGTATACAATGAGTGTAATTTGTTATCCACGGCAAAAATTACACTGATATCTTTGTCGGTCAGAACTTGAGCAATCTGAACGAGAAGGAATAGAAACCACCGATGAGTGAGGGCATTGTTAAATCAGATAAGGAAGAACGTAAATGAATGTATTGTTTATTTGGCTCATATGTATCCCGTGCTTTTTTGACTGAGTATCACTGATACTATCATCATAAGTTGACTATTGAAAGTACAGCTTGCTCCTTCTATGGAGTTCAAAATGATGTCAGCGGACAACACAAAAGCCTGAACACCATCTTCTGAAAGTCATCCAGGGAAATTGAAACCCTATGATAAACAACGTGCCTGAGATTGATTAACGATAAACATGGTTGGTAGGGAAGGTCATTTGTTACGGAGGTAATACATTTCACACATTTCAATAGCCGTGAATACAAAAGGCTACTTCGTACATGATGATATATTATTATTCAAAAATTTGCACCCACAGCGTTCCTAATTGAGAAAATTGTTTCACACCGTACACATATTCCTGTTTTAAAGTTTTTTCCCTCCCGCTCAAAATCCATCGCGGTCTTCAGAGGATGATGACAACAGCACTGTCTCAGATAGAAACTCTGTCGCTGTTTTCTCATGTCCTAACTCGACTACGGTCCAAGATTCACCGAATCCTCCTCCATCGCCTGAGGTCCTTCTTCGTCCACAATCCACTTTTAAACTAGGTACACATAACGTGCGAACTTGGATGCGTATAAGACAACAGGCATATTTAGCTCGTACACTCGAGACCCTGGCCATCGATGTGTTGTACCCAAGACACTTGTAATCAAGACTTCAGCTCCATTATCCTATTGAAGTCCCCATCAAAACCATCTGCCGTACTTCACTGACATCTTTCTGGGGCACTCGAGGATCCAGGTTTCGGTCTTTTTCATTACACACATCTTTTGTGTGTGTGTGTGTGTGTGTGTGTGTGTGTGTGTGGTGAGAGCAGAAGGGATATAAACGATAGTCACGAAAACCCGTAGTTTAGTGATGGCAACCGGTAACACAAGCCCCAGGACTTGAAATGGCGAACCACATAAGCCCGTTAGGTTAGGCGTGGCTCTCAAAGAGAGTTAAAGCCGCGCTCTTAGATTGGATCCTAGTCGATAGTAGGTGGTGTGCAGTGAGACTCAACTTTGTCATAGAGGCTGCTCCATAGGATGCTTTGTCTGGTCTAGTAAACGCCGGAGTCAAAATCCCCCAGGGAACAGTCCTTGATTTAGAATATGCTAATGACATCGACACACCACAGGCAGTCCAACCTAATTTAAACCGCTTGGCGATAGAGGTATATACATACGTCACAACAATAATAACAATAACAATAACAGGGGCAGGTGGATTGGGATACTGAACAAAGTGGTATGGTAGGTGTTTTGCGCCGTCCAAATGAAAAGTGCATGTTCAAGACTCGCAGGAGCATGTGACTTTACCCACCCTCTGTGATGATCAGGTGCAAGTGGATGAGAGCTGTAAGTACTTCGGGAGTTTGGTCGCAGCTGGTGGCTGTGTTGGGAAAGAGCTCACACCATGAATAACGACAGATAGAGCCGCTTTCGCCAACCTGCACCACCTGTGGCACCGTTATGACATCTGTTTGTCCCTTAAGAGGTGGTGTACATCACCGCGATTCGCAATGTTCTGTTTATAAGGTTGCGAGACCTGGCCCCCACGCGTTAAGGATGCTAATCGACTTTCTGTATTTGATCACCGATGCCTTCGAAGCATTGCTCGTGTCTGACGGGAATATCATATGAGCAATGAAGAAATTCATCGTCGTGCGCTGGGTGCCGAAATTCGTTCTATAACAGAGGTAACTACTCTACGCCACTTCCGATGGCTTGGTCACGTTTTCCCTATGCCTGCCCATTGT